CCTCCTGTCTTCAAGGCGCGCTACGTGGCTCGAGGCTTCAGTCAGCGAGAGGGAGTTGACTTCTTTCAGACCTTCTCCCCCACCCCGAAGATGACCACTCTTCGGGTGCTGCTGCACATAGCCGCTCAGCGCGACTACGAGCTTCACTCACTTGACTTCAGCACTGCTTTCTTGCAGGGCAGCCTACACGAGGAGATCTGGCTGCGCCGCCCTCCTGGCTTCACTGGGTCGGTTCCTCCTGGTACCCAGTGGAGACTTCAGCGGCCGGTCTACGGTCTCCGCCAGGCACCGCGTGAGTGGCACGACACACTGAGGACGACACTTGCGGCTCTTGGGTTCGCTCCCTCTACTGCTGACCCGTCACTGTTTCTACGCACAGACACCTCACTGCCGCCGTTCTACATCCTCGTGTACGTCGACGACTTGGTCTTTGCCACTGCTGACACCGCGGCACTCGCCCACGTGAAGTCGGAGCTGCAAAGGAGACACACGTGCACAGACTTGGGTGAACTGACAAGCTATCTTGGCTTGCGGATCACCCGGGACAGAGCACGGCGCACCATCACCCTGACTCAGTCACACATGGTGCATCAGGTCCTTCAGCGCTTCCGCTTCACGTACTCCTCGCCTCAGTCCACTCCTCTGCCTACCGGTCACTCGCTCTCAGCTCTGCCTTCGGATGAGTCCGTAGAGCCGAGTGGCCCGTATCCAGAGCTTGTGGGCTGCCTCATGTACCTGATGACCTGCACTCGACCTGACCTTGCATACCCTCTTAGCATCCTTGCATGCTATGTCGCTCCTGGCCGTCACAGGAAGGAGCACATGGATGCCGCTAAGAGGGTGTTGCGCTACTTGTGCAGTACGTCGGGCATGGGGCTAGTGCTTGGAGGGCGAGACCGAGTTGTACTTACTGGACACTCAGACGCTTCTTGGGCGGACGACCAGGCTACTCAGCGGTCGTCTCAGGGTTACACCTTCAGCCTTGGCTCCGGCTCAGTTTCTTGGCGTTCTACACGCTCTTCTTCTGTTCTCAGCTCCAGTTGTGAGGCTGAGATCTACGCCACAGCCATGGCTGCCCAGGAGCTTCGCTGGCTGACCTACCTGCTGACCGACTTGGGAGAGCGGCCTCGTTCTCCTCCAGTGCTGTACGTCGACAACCAGGCTGCCATTGCCTTGTGTGAGGAGCACAGACTGGAGCACAGAACGAAGCACATCGCCCTTCGGTACTTCCTTGCTCGAGAGCTGCAGCAGCGTGGTCAGCTTCGTCTGCGTTACGTGGCCACTGAGGCCAACCTTGCTGATGTGTTCACCAAGGCGCTTCAGCCTTGTGACCATCAGCGTTTCTGTACTCTTCTAGGCCTTGTGCCTGCTGGACCTCACTTACTTACTTCTTGACCCTGCTTGTACTGTGATCTTTATATATATACCTGCATGTTTACACTTGCTAGGTTGTGATCACTGTATCTCTTGTTATATTATCAACCTGCATGTGAACTGGTCTTGTGACCGCTTGCTTGTGCTCGGAATTTGTGTGGTATCCTTGAGATCCACCCTGAGCTTGTTTTGCTTTGCTTTGACTGGTCTTGTGACCCCTTGCTCTCCCCCACTTTGCCTATGGGGGTGTGTCAAACATTATATATGTTGTGTTTGTTTAGGCTACAGTGGGTTAGCCTATAGGGGGTACACAATTCTAGGGTTTGGTACTTGTACTGCTTTCACTCATAGTTCAATCATTCCAGTCTCTTCTTTCTGACAGGGATGACTTTTACCCGGATGTTGGTATTTACGAGCCGCTCGATTCCACCTGCCCTGCTGTCCCCCGAGTGCCATGGGAGGAGGGCGGGTTCGACGATGACGTGGCAGACGCAGTGGTGGCGGTAGTACCGTGTCGCAGGGAGAGGAACTCAATGGCGTGGGATGTACGGTGGCAACAGCTCCTGCTGTCCCTTGCGCGATTCGCCAGTAAGGTGCGCTTACTATGATATGCTGGCCAGGTTTGTGCTCAAATGCAAGCCGAGGGTGCACCGCATCACACCCAGTTTGTCTCCCCCCGCAACTGCGCCTCCCTCCGCGTCTTCCGCCTGCTTCCTTCCTGCGGATCCCCTCCCTACGCCCCCCAGTCCCACCGCCCATGGATGCCCATCGTCATCGTGTCGCCCTATCGTCCGTCGCTCAACCTCTTCCACTGCCGTCTCCTCGCGCGTCCGGAACCCGCCGCTCAAGCTGCTGCGCAAGGCAAGGTGGGAGCCGGGCCGCGGGGCGACGTGTGGGTGTACAACGTGACGGCGAACGACCTGCGCGCGCGCATCCAACCCCCAGGGTCCTGCGCCCTGGCGCAACCTAGCGCGGATGCCGTTGGTGCTGCTCGAAACTACCACTTTCCTTCCAAACGATAACTTGTTCAGTCAAGTCTGTGGTAGTGATGTTTGATGCACCAGCACGGAAACATCCCAACACGGTGTTAGTATGAATACACACAGGCTAGACCGGTTCGATGCGCGCTTTGGAAGCACTTGTAAGTCGGGTCCCATGGCTGCAAAGATTGGCTGGTTGGAAACACGGCCGTGGATGTTTCTTGTGTCAACCGCCAGGATCTTGTGATGGTTGGTCTGAAGTTTTGTTGAAACCCATTCTTATCCATTGGTGAATTCGAGCATTATTGCTAAAATTGAAGGATGGGGCTACCGCCTGGTCTTTTCTCCCCCTCTGCGGCCACGGGTCCGATTCCTTGTCGCCCTTTCGTCAGCATTTTGATCAAAATATCTCTCTCCTGCCTCTCGCCCCCATTTGCCCCCTCCATGCATCGCGCATTCCCCCTCCGCCACACCCCCGCGCTTTGCGTCCGTGACGATGCTGCACAGCAAGGACGACTACGTGTGCGGCGCCATAGTGCTCGCGCATGCCCTCCGCACCACGGGCCTCGCGCTGCCCCCTGCACTAGTCGCCAGCAGCACCAATGCTAACAGCAGCGGAGGTGCGGCGTACCCCATGGAGGCAGAGCTAGTCGCGATGGTGTCCGCAGAGCTAAGCGAAGACGGCCGAAGAGGGCTTGAGGCGGCGGGTTGGCGGATAGTGGAGATAGAGCGAATAAGGAGCCCTTCGGCCAAGCCCGGTCAATACAACGAGTACAACCTCAGGTATGCGCACGTGCGGGTGGGTGGGTGGCGCCATGGGGGGGATGATCAAGATGTGAGATAACACGAGCGTGGGGGCGGGATCCCGAGCTTGAAACTGAGGAGAGGAGAGGAGTAGAGAACATGGCTCTCTCACCCGCTCATGATGTCTCCCGCAACTCTTTCTTCTCTCCTTGTTCCCACCCTCCCTTGATTTCCCCCTCCTTCCTGATTCCACCCCCCCGGCTGCAATTTGGGTTTGTGGCAGTTGGTAGAGTACAAGCGCATCGTGTACATAGACTCGGACTTGCTCCCGTTCTGCTCCCTCACGCACCTCTTCCTCTTCCCCGAGCTCTCCGCGGGCGGCAACGACGACTTCCGGTTCAATTCGAGCCTTATGGTCATCGAGCCGTCCCTCTGCACGCACGCGTTTCTCATCGCCAACATCCGCTGTTTGGAGTCGTACAATCATGGAATCCAGGTGCGAATGGCTAGCTGCTCTGGTGACGAGATGCTCGATCCCCGCTTGCTTACATGCCAATGCTCGTCTTCAATCCAGCAATGTCTCTTACTCGGCTTTGTGCTCTGGCTCTTACTTCTCACACGCAGAAATGTCCCAGCTGAGTCCACAAGTTCCACCTCACCAGTACCGTGTGTGTCCGCTTGGCCAGATCCATGCAAGGCCAAAGAGTGCCTTGTTTTTGGCCGGAAAAATGAGCTCCTCCATTTGCCCCCCTGTTTCCACCTCCCCACGCGCGCTCCTGCCTTGGTCTGCTAGGGTTTTCTAAACAATGCATACCCCTGGTGGCACCGCCTACCAGACTACAGCAACCTCCTCAGGCACAAGCCACTCCACGGCCACCGCTATCTTGACGGGGGCCTGGCCGCCCAGAAGGCGCTCTTCGCGTCTGAGCCCCCCCAGATGCACGCGATTCATTATCTTGGCCGGAAGCCCTGGGTGTGCTTCTGCGACTTTGACTGCAACCTGGCATTATCGCTATATGAACTCAAGTTTGTGAACGATGTTGCCTTCCGGCGGTGGTGGGCGGTGCATGATGGGATTGATGAGAGGCTGAAACCGTGGTGCTGGTTGAGTGAAAAGCAGAAGCAAGTGATCTGGAGAGGCATGAAGAAGCGCAAGCAGGACGGCGTTGAACCGGAACGGTGGAACTACACAATTACTGACCCCAGAAAGGACTTGGTGCTGCCGTGGAAGATAAAAAAGAAGGAACACATAAGTTGGCTTGTCAAACATTTATGTTTGCTGCTGTACAACCCATGCGCCCATACCACATGTGAGAGGGAGTTGTACCAGGAACGTGAATTCCTCTATCCCATCCATTTTCTACACACACAATCCCAAGGGTGTCTCACCAGGAGAAACAGGTGAACACTCAAGAGCAGACAATACGGGCGGGGAGGGTGGGGCGAGGAGGGGAGATGGCAGAGGAGGTGGGGAGGGGAGGGGAGGTTGGGGAGCATGGTTTCATCGTCTGTCCATGTAAGTTGGGCAGGGAGGGCAGGGAGGGCAGGCGAGGGTAACAAACTGCCAGCTACAGCACCAAGCGCGCGCATGACACTCCATGGCTTTGGAGATGCCTGATCTCATAAGCCACCTCCCCCACACCACAGATTCCCATACTGCACGTTCCTCCCCCACACCGCCCCGTGCCCCATGCCCCACACCGCCCCGTGCCCCATGCCCCACAACCTTTGGAGTTGTTAGCTGAGTACCAATATGCAATATTACAAGTTACAACCCAGCCAGCAAGCTCGGGAAATCAATCAGTACAAACGGAACACGATGTAACCTCGCTCATCCAGCGTGCATTGCCTTGGGCCAAATGACACTGACATTCTTCTTCTGGTTCAACTGGAGCTCCACGCTCACGGTGTTTTCCCTGCAACCGTGGTTTTTGTCGTGTCTGCCGCTGCAGCATCTCCCCCGATATTACCGCCTGCCCGCCCGGTAGCAAATGGCCAGTGCTGCACATGCTGCTTATAAGTCGTTGCATGTGCCTTCTCCACCGCTTTCAACCCAGCAGTGCCGCTCGCATTCATCCTGTTGACTGCATTGCCTCCCTGTGCACCCTTGACTCTCTTTCTCTGGGCACGTCTTGCCTGCCACACACGAGCGCCCATGTGCCTTGCAGTACCAGCTTGCGTGCCCTTTGCCCTGAATCCATGCTTTCTCGTTCCCTTGCGAGACATTTTTGACCTCTTGCCAGCCTTACCAGCAGAAGTTCTCAACCATTGCTTGAAGCCGCCCCACAGCTTACTCATTCTTCCAAATGCCGAAGTAGTAGCAGCACTCCTAGCGGAACCAGCTGTGCCATAGTCCGCGTAATCCTCTGCACTGTAATCTCCACTGTAGTCTCCACTGTAGTCTCCGTTATAATCACCATTGCTGTCATCTCCAGTATAGTCATCGTCCTCACCACTGTAGTCATCATCCCCATAATCGCCATCCCCGTTATCATCCCCATCATAGTCACCATCACCACCGCTGCCATCCCCATTGCCGTCTCCATCCCCGTAATCACCACCATCCCCATAATCACCACCATCGCCAGAACCATCGCCGTACTGACCATCACTTCCATAATCAGAGCCATCCCCGTAGTCATCACCATTGCCACCACCGTAGTCCCCGCCATAGTCGCCCCCTCCATTGTCTCCACCAGTGCCGCCCCCAGTGCCACCCCCAGAGCCGCCGCCCGTGCCGCCACCTGTGCCGCCCCCAGTTGACCCCGTGCAGCTGAAGTCCACATCTGCCTGGCCACTGCAAGACACCATCACAGGACGGGACCAGGGACGCATGGGGGACAAACACGGATACCCTTTTAAGTCTGCCGCCGCGTGGGAAGACAGTGGGCCTCGGCAGTAGGTGATGCCAGCACAAGACAAGCTCCTCTGCTCGTAGGTAGGTATGCCACAGGATAGCAGAGGAGAGAGTCGTTTTGCAGCAAGATAGTTGGTGGCAGAGGGTGTTAGTACAGAGGAGAGCGGGTTGTGGTGACGAGGGACGCACTAGTTGCCTTCGTGGTTGGCGAGGGTTGGCGACTGATCACTGGAGAAGGCCCAAATGAGGCTGTTGCTCCCCGCCATGCTCACCGGCACTGCACCGTCGCCAGATGAACGAGAGAACCTGTGGCAGTGGGAAAGCGCAGAGAGCGGCGCAATGGGAGGGAGGTTTTTAGGAGGGAAATGCATTTCTGCGTGGAATCATCAGCCATCTGGATACGAAATCATCCATTGCAGTCAATGAAAAGGCTTAAGAAAACGGATAGTACAAGGACGTGGACATGACAACGCGACTGTTGTGGTGCATGCATGGCTCATCCCCAACCATGACGTCACTGATCGACGCAATCAACTTGGTTTAGGGTTGGCGAGTCACGTAGTTGATGAGCGAGTCGCCATTGGCGGAGGAGGCGGAGCCGATGGAGAATCGGGTGGTGGGACGCACGTCCGCCTCGCTGTACCCGCTTATGGCGTACGCCTTCACCTCGCCGCCCGGCAGCCCGCCAATCACGGCGTCGGAGCCGGGCATTTTGCCGTCCGGCGACCACGCCACCGCCACCCATCCACCGGCCGCCGCACCGCCAACCTCCATGGCGAGGGAAAGGCTGCCGCTGCCCGCGCCTTGGGCCCAGTGGAGCACGAGACTGGACAAGCGGGAAGGGAGGGAAAGCGTGGAAAGGAGGGGGGCGAGCGAGAAAAGAAAGGTAAGGGTCAGATCGGAGAGCACAAGGTGCGGTGGGAGTGGGAGTGGGAGGGAGGGAGAAGCGTGAGAGGCCGTACTCGGATCCGGAGAGTGCGACGGACGACGTGTAGCCTGCGATCGACGACGCCGAACACCCTCCTGCTGCTGCGGGAGACTTCGAGGCGAGTCCGTTGGTGGTTTTCGCACTAGCTGCGCCGGTTGTCGCAGCAGCCGCTGAGTTCGTCGCGAAGTGCTGCGGCGAGCGCACGACCCTGCCACGCGCGTACAGCCGTCCCATGGCTCTGGTAACGGAAGCTGCGCCGGGGACTCGCCTGGATCGGTGCGGTACGGTGTGTGCACATGCTGCTAGAAATGTCGGGTGGACGTGCACTTGAAGCAAGAGGAGAAGCAACGCGGCGGTTAAGAGGCTTCGCGCTGGCGCCGCAATCACGGGCGTGAGACTTAAACGACTCGGAGTCAGCATCTTGAAACAAATGCTAGGAAAACAAGGAAATGTCAGCCTACTACGACTTCTGAGTGTTTCGAACAGACTATTTGTATGTATGTCGCCACACATGTGCGTGTGGGGGTGTGTGGAGGCATTGAGTGTGCAGCTCGAATGGCACGGTACAAAACAGTGAACCTCACAACCGATTGTTACCGTGTGAAACCGTCAAGAGCTACAAACCTACGGACTGGGCATTCCCCTAAAACACCAGCATCAACTCGCATCGCCATGGTTGCTGCTCCACCGGCATCCTGCAGAAAACAAGGATACGAAAGGTTTTCCGTGGTGTAGAGGAATTAGTGGAAGCGTTTACAGCTGTTCACCTCTTTTCGCCCGCTCCCCCCCATGCTTCACCTGCGGCTCGAAGAATGATGTGGACGGAACAAGGTGTGGGACGTGAGGTCGCTGAAAGTCCAAATTTCCGTTGACCATTTCAACAGGGTCGTGGTATTGTGGTCACCTTCATCCAACGAAATTCGTCGGAAGGTGTGAAAGTTCCGACATGATATTGGCGCTGCTCTGCAGGCGTTAAATTGCCAGAAACTGGGTCCGCAGAATCTTCCCAGATGAGCGCGTTTCTGCCTATCAAGGTTTGAAGATAAGCGCTCTTGCCAAACCTTTTTGCCCAAAATTTAACGCTTAGGCCTGCAGAGCGCCACTTTTGGGGCACACAAATTCAACGGGATGAAGGTTCCACGGTGTTGCATCTCCAGGCAAATGTCCGCATTATTTGTGCGCTGCCAATTCAACCTCGAGAGGTAGCATCAGCCAGCGCATAAGTTATGCAGGGCAGAAATTTGAGAAATTCGAGAGTTTGAGAGAGCTTCATGGCAACACCCCCCAGCAAATTGAGAGATTGGGCATTTGGTGCGGCCAGAAGCTACAAGGAAGGCCCTATTTTGTACATTCAATGCGGAGGCAATAACGCCTACAGAACAGCGCCTTTCTGTCATCCGATTTCTAAAAGGGTGATACGGGTGCAATGAAACGAGATAGCGCACTAGGTATGAGAGTACACATGGGCGTTGTTCTGCAGGCATTATTTGTGTCGCACCAATTTGACCGCGGTTGCCTTCCGTGTACTTCGAGGCGCATTCATGCTCGTTTCGCGGACATTGCTGCCTCGCATAACTTGTGCGGAGGCTGGTGCTAGCTCCCGAGGTAGAATCAGCACCGCACTAGTTGTGCGACCATTTGCCCGGCGAAGCAACTGTTCAACAGGCTAGGCGAAAACGAGAAATAGGCAAAGAGGGATTTCACTAGCAAGCAGTTGAGTACATATAGGAAACCCTAATTCGGGTTGTACTCGCTATAGAGTACCCCACTGCAGGCTAGACAAACATCACATTCTGACACACCCCCATAGTCAAAGTGGGGTACAATCAATACAACAAACAGGTAGAGTAGTAGTTCACAATCATAAGCAAAGCTCGCGGCTAGCACAGGGAGCAAGTGAGGAGGAGGAGAAACTGTGGGGGCGAGAAGATGGGAGGCGACGGCTGAAGCTGCAGACACACGGGCAGCAGGAGTGCGTAGTACTGTCGCTACCAGGCTAAACCCGGACTACACGGCGACAGACGCAGCTGGCTCGCTGTGCTCCCAGGAGTGCTCACACTGTGGCTACCGGGCGCAGAGCCCCGGACTACTCAGGCCACAGGGGGTCGTGGCTCCCTGGACTTCAGGCGCTGCGGACGACTAGTTGGCTATCCCTGGTCAACCTCCCCCAACTGTCCCACACCCCGTTCACACACTCCCTGTTGAACCACTAGCACCGCTCACACGCCACCCCCCTCGTACCACTCCGACGGCTCCAACACATCCACCCCCCTCAGCGGTAGCTGCAGCAGTGGGAGACGGAGGAGGAGGAGGAGCAGGGGACGGCTCACACACACGGCACCCCCATACTCTCCACCCCCAAACCCTAACACAGGAACGCGGGCAGCAGCAGGGGTGGGGCGCCGTCAAAAGCTCGGGGGACGGCATGCGGCACTGGGACAGGCTTCCCGGGGCGCGCACGGGCCTGGCGCAGGCAGAACGAGCCGCGCGCGGGCTGCCCGGGCCGCGCGCGGGCCTGGCGCAGGCCGTACGGGCCGCGCGCGGGCTGTACGGGCCGCGCGCGGGCCTGGCGCAGCCCGTACGGGCCGCGCGCGGGCCTGGCGCAGCCCGTACGGGCCGCGCGCGGGCCTGGCGCAGGTCGCGCGGGCCGCGTCGGGCGACGGGGGGCGACGCGCGGGTCGCGGGGCGACGCGACGGGCTCCGGCGGGGGGTGACGCGACTGTCGACGGGGGAGAAAACCGCCGCGCGCCCCGAGCGCGCGGCGGGAAGAAAAATCGCCGCACGCTCGGAGCGCGCGGCAGGCAGGAAACAGCAGCGGAAGCTTCTGGTGGGACCACCCACAGGATCGACCCAGGAGGGTCGACCTGCTCTGATAGCATGTTAAACAGGCTAGGCGAAAACGAGAAATAGGCAAAGAGGGATTTCACTAGCAAGCAGTTGAGTACATATAGGAAACCCTAATTCGGGTTGTACTCGCTATAGAGTACCCCACTGCAGGCTAGACAACCATCACATTCTGACAGCAACAACTTCGAACCTGCAGACGATTAAATTTGTGCGCCCCAAAAGTGGTGTTTTGCAGGCGGAAGCGTTAAATTTGGCGCGAACTGGTTTGGCAGGATCTCCCTTATCACCATACCTTGATAGGTAGAAGACCTCTTATCAACGAAAATTCCGCGGACCCAGTTTTTGGAAAATTGACGCCTACAGAACAGCGCCATGATGCACAACCCCTGCACACGAATTTGCCCTTCACAAGATGAAAACCATGCACCCGTGGCTTTTTTGCCATGAAGTTGCACCCCGTTACAAGCACCTCGAGCAAGTTGCCATGATTTTAACCAATACGAACCACAGAAACTGAAGTTTGACTGAAGAGACTGAAGCCAAACTGTCAACGGTGAGTTACAAGTTTTTTTTTAAAGCCCTTTTTGTCCGGTGCGAATTGACGAAATCGCTACGAAATGCAAGAATCACTTATAAGCCCAGAGAGTAAGGCAAGGTCGGGGGGCTTAACCGGGCATCGTGTGTATGAGCATAGGTATGAGCAAATACATAAACGCGAAACATGCAAACGGTAACGTAGTGCGTGCGAGCTAGCTAGTGCTATTCTGGCATCGAGGTTCGGGCTAGACCCGAAGCGTAGGCCGACTCGGCCGGGCCAGCAGTGCATGGTTTGGTGAAACAGCCCGCGCGAAACTGGCGAAGCCCCGTTAGCAGTAACGGGCGAACAGCGGCCGCTGCTGTATGCGATGTCGACAGTCGCGGTAAAAAATATCGAGAAAATTCCTTGCACTATTCCCCCCCCCCCCCCCCCCCCCCCCCCCTCAAGAAGCCCCCTCGGCTACGCGAGTGCGTGTATATCGCGGAAACCCCGGCTCCTCAGGTACACTTGTAGGGCAGGGTGGTTTTTAATGTTGGCCAGGGGCACCCAGCTATCCTCAGTTGGCGTGCGGTCCTTCCAGCGGATGAGGAATTCGATACTCTTGATGCCTGTGGGGTGACGAATCCAATGGCTCAGAAACTTTTCGGGCTCGATGATCGGCTCCGATGCAGGGCGAATCATAGATGGCGGGCGATGACGAGGCAGTTGGCTTGTGGTCGGGATGTAGGGGCGAAGCAGTCTGACATGGAACGATGGGCTGATGTACCAGTCTGTCGGCAACAGTAACTGGAATGACCATGTGGTTGATTTGGAAAGGCCCACAGTAGTGCAGTCGGAGTTTTGGTACGTCGGGCGATCGTAAGTTCTGTGTGTCGAGCGGTACGTAGTCTCCTGACTGATATGTGACTGGGCGGCGGTGGCGGTCAGCGTTTCGTTTAGTGATGATGTTGGCT